ACTCACTAACTGTAAGTCGCTCTGGATAAGAGCGTCTGCTAAATGACTAAAATGTAAATGTAAATGTAAGAAGGCACACCTGTTAATTGAAATGCATTCCAGGTGACTACCTCATGAAGCTGGTTGAGAGAATGCCAATAATGTGCAAAGCTGTCATCAAGGCAAAGGGTGGCTATTTGAAGAATCTCAAATATAAAATATATTTTGATTTGTTTAAACTTTTTGGGTTACTACATGATTCCATGTGTTATTTCATAGTATTGATGTCTTCACTATTATTTTACAATGTAGAAAATAGTAAAAATAAAGAAAAACCCGGGAATGAGTAGGTGTGTCCAAACTTTTGACTGGTACTGTATGTAAATGTGATAGTTCCATTTTTTATTTTGTTATGAATTTGCTAACATTTCGAAAAGCCTGTTTTTGCTTTGTCATTATTGGGTATTGTGTGCAGATTGATGAGGGAAAAAAACAATGTAATCCATTTCAGAATAAGCCTGTAACGTAAAAAAAATGTGGAGAAAGGTCTGAATAGTTTCCGAATGCACTGTATGTATTGAGTCAATAACTGTAAAGTTATTACCTATGGCGTCAGGTAACTACAAAAGTGAAGGAAACAAGGGATACAAAGTATATTGAAAGCAGGTGCTGCTGAGTTAATTAAGCAATTATCATTGCATCATTCTTCGGGTCATGTGTAAAAATGTCCAGTTGCCCATTATTTTGCTTACCATGGCTTGAAGAAGAGATCTCAGTGACTTTGAAAGAGGAGTCTCAAAGGAGCATAGGGGGTTTAAAGTGTGTGTGTGTGTGTGTGTGTGTGTGTGTGTATGTGTGTCTCAGTCACCAGATCTCAACCCAATTGAACACTTATGGGAGATTCTGGAGCGGCGTCTGAGACAGCGTTTTTCACCACCATCAACAAAATACTAAATTATGGAATTTCTCGTGGAAGAATGGTGTCGCATCCCTCCAAAAGAGTTCCGGACACTTGTAGAATCTATGCCAAAGCGCATTGAAGCTGTTCTGGCGGCTCGTGGTGGCTCAACCCCCTATTAAGACACTTTATGTTGATGTTTATTTTATTTTGGCAGTTACCTGTATTCCACTAGTTGGCAGTGTATGCATGAACCATTTTCTTAGATGATTTCAGCTCATTAGATCTCCCATATGTTTCATATAGGCCCTGTGTATAAGTATATGCCAAAGCCATTATACTAAATCCTTCACACCTTGGAACACAACCCTACAAAGTCCTTAAATGCTTCTCTGATGATCCTTTCTATTCCCATAATCTCATATAACAAATCCTGCCATTGATCCTCACACTAGTGGGAGTGAAATTAAAGCTCCAACCAGACCCTCGGTAAATTGATCAGCTGTCATCCTCTCCACTATAGCCTACAATACAAGTACAGAATGGAATAGAATACTCCAACTCTTTAAAAGGGAATTTTTCTTGTGCTTGTATGCTAACATCCGCAATCCTGACAGCAATGCCATAGTACTAGGATTCATGAAATGTTTATGTACTGCTTTGGAATTAAGTATATGGTTTATGAATGGGTTATGAAGTCCTCCTTATTTAGGTACCCTTGAAATAAAGTGTGGGTTTGTTTTTGTTGGACTTTGTAATGTCTGTGAGTCAAATAAGTCTCCATTTCAAAATAACACCTCTGGACAAGACACCCACTGTGGGAGCAATGTTCTAAATTGTAGCCTTGTCCATGTGTGATTAGTAACCTTAGCAGAAAGCCTAAAAGTTAAATACCATCACTGGATCTGACATACATTTTTTAGGTTGTATGTAGTGGATTTTGGTCTCTGGAGAACTGACAATCAAGGACCCATACCTGTTGGTCAAATAGGAACCTATTTCAATGACTGGCTGTGCTTCAAAATGGGGTCACAGCACCCTCTAGAGGGAAGAGGAGATGAAACTTCATGGTGACTTCATTCATATGAGTAAATGACTGACCCTCACAGTAAAGCAATTGGATAATACTTAAAACTCACGTGTAAAGCTCAGTTTATGAATGCATTGGGAATAAAATAACCAAATGCATAAAATGTTGTATGAATGTTGAAGAGCAGTTATGAAAGTAACTGGTCTTCTGCTCGGCAATAACAATGAAACTCATTATACTTTTATGAAATGTAAAGTATTTGAGCGCTCTAATTTGGTGCCATGACAATGTTATAGGTTGCCATTGTTGTAGGTTGTCATGATATGCTACAACAGGTGATATACTGTAGGTGTAGCTACTATAATATTGCTTACGGCTTATTGCCTATACATTATTCAGCTCTACATGAAGTCCCTAGGGGCTACAGGATGGTTGTTTCTGGATGGGGCCAAAGAGCTATGGCAATTACAAGTGACATAGAAAGTTAAGAGATGATTTCCTATTGGTTCCATGGTTGAAATGGCATATATTATATCATATTATTAGGCCTACAGTGGGGAGAACAAGTATTTGATACACTGCCGATTTTGCAGGTTTTCCTACTTACAAAGCATGTAGAGGTCTGTAATTTTTATCATAGGTACACTTCAACTGTGAGACGGAATCTAAAACAAAAATCAAGAAAATCACATTTTTAAGTAATTAATTTGCATTTTATTGCATGACATAAGTATTTGATCACCTACCAACCAGTAAGAATTCCGGCACTCACAGACCTGTTAGTTTTTCTTTAAGAAGCCCTCCTGTTCTCCACTCATTACCTGTATTAACTGCACCTGATTGAACTCGTTACCTGTATAAAAGACACCTGTCCACACACTCAATCAAACAGACTCCAATCTCTCCACAATGGCCAAGACCAGAGAGCTGTGTAAGGACATCAGGGATAAAATTGTAGACCTGCACAAGGCTGGGATGGGCTACAGGACAATAGGCAAGCAGCTTGGTGAGAAGGCAACAACTGTTGGCGCAATTATTAGAAAATGGAAGAAGTTCAAGATGACGGTCAATCACCCTCGGTCTGGGGCTCCATGCAAGATCTCACCTCGTGGGGCATCAATGATCATGAGGAAGGTGAGGGATCAGCCCAGAACTACACGGCAGGACCTGGTCAATGACCTGAAGAGAGCTGGGACCACAGTCTCAAAGAAAACCATTAGTAACACACTATGCCGTCATGGATTAAAATCCTGCAGCGCACGCAAGGTCCCCCTGCTCAAGCCAGTGCATGTCCAGGCCCGTCTGAAGTTTACCAATGACCATCTGGATGATCCAGAGGAGGAATGGGAGAAGGTCATGTGGTCTGATGAGACAAAAATAGAGCTTTTTGGTCTAAACTCCACTCGCCGTGTTTGGAGGAAGAAGAAGGATGAGTACAACCCCAAGAACACCATCCCAACCGTGAAGCATGGAGGTGGAAATATCATTCTTTGGGGATGCTTTTCTGCAAAGGGGACAGGACGACTGCACCGTATTGAGGGGAGGATGGATGGGGCCATGTATCGCGAGATCTTGGCCAACAACCTCCTTCCCTCAGTAAGAGCATTGAAGATGTGGCGCAGTGGTCTAAGGCACTGCATCGCAGTGCTAGCTGTTCCACTAGAGATCCTGGTTCGAATCCAGGCTGTCGTAGCCGGCCGCGACCGGGAGACCCATGGGGCGGCGCACAATTGGCCCAGCGTCGTCCAGGGTAGGGAATGGCCGGCAGGGATGTAGCTCAGTTGGTAGAGCATGGCGTTTGCAACGCCAGGGTTGTGGGTTCGATTCCCACGGGGGGCCAGTATGAAATAAAATTAAAAATAATAATGTATGCACCAACTGTAAGTCGCTCTGGATAAGAGTGTCTGCTAAAATGACTAAAATGTCAAATGTAAGATGGGTCGTGGCTGGGTCTTCCAGCATGACAACGACCCGAAACACACAGCCAGGGCAACTAAGGAGTGGCTCCGTAAGAAGCATCTCAAGGTCCTGGAGTGGCCTAGCCAGTCTCCAGACCTGAACCCAATAGAACATCTTTGGAGGGAGCTGAAAGTCAGTTTACTGAAAGTCCGTATTGCCCAGCGACAGCCCCGAAACCTGAAGGTCTGTATGGAGGAGTGGGCCAAAATCCCTGCTGCAGTGTGTGCAAACCTAGTCAAGACCTACAGGAAACATATGATCTCTGTAATTGCAAACAAAGGTTTCTGTACCAAATATTAAGTTCTGCTTTTCTGATGTATCAAATACTTATGTCATGCAATAAAATGCAAATTAATTACTTTAAAATCATACAATGTGATTTTCTGGATTTTTGTTTTAGATTCCGTCTCTCACAGTTGATGTGTACCTATGATAAAAATTACAGACCTCTACATGCTTTGTAAGTAGGAAAACCTGCAAAATCAGCAGTGTATCAAATACTTGTTCTCCCCACTGTATATTATATATTATATTATTTAAAATGATCCGAAGTCACAGAAAACTTTAAAGACTCATTAGTGCTGTGTTTCCATTGCAGGCAGAAGATCAAAACCAATCACTAATACATTTATACTTTGCAATATAGCATACTGTAAGTCAAATGTAAAACCATTTCTAACAAGGAATGTACAAATAACAAGTTGCATAAAGTATTCCACAATATAAAAACAGATTCTATTGAATTGCAAAACCAAAGTTTTAATCCTGTTAACACAGACTAATTGATTAATGACATGATCAGAAAGTCTTGATTACGTGCACTTGAAGTTTAGGGCCATAGCACAGAACAAGTCTAAAAATAGCTAAAAAGCAAATTGGTATAATAAATTAAAACGGCGTAACATAATTAAGGATAATATCAATTACAATGCTGTATAAGGGCACAGAGAAATGTTGACTTTTTACATTTCAAATGAATTCCCTGCCATTAAATAAATCAACAAAATACTTTTCTTTATAAGAGCACTCTGAACATCTTCCATTTCTAGAACGGTATTCATTTGCGTTTTGAGGTTTGCATGTTCACCTGTGTGGCTATGACACGTGGATTAGTATTATTGGCAGGTGTGTTTGTGTGTGTGGGGGGGGGGGGGGGGGGTTCCAGAGAAAGTAGTGTGTCCTTGTTGTGCAAGTGTTTCCTGTGTTAAGGTCCAGGACTGTTTCTGTTGTTTTGGTATATAGTCATGAGTTTTTCCCAGATTTTGTCACGCAGTCATTGCAGCTACGTAAACAAATGCACCCACAATGAAATGTAGACCAAAAAAATTTAAAATAAACAAGGCACCTGGTGCATTTTCAGACCACAAACTTGTTTTTGGTGGTGGAGCCGCTCTTGGTGGAAGTGTCAGAGTGGGACTGGTAGCCAATGGTCATCTTCATGGGGATTCCCAAGCGCTCCTTATACACTCTCCTGTTGTCACACAGATGGCCATATTCGAAGGGAGGTGGTAGCAACAAACTTTGTTGTATTTGATCTTAGTAATTTAACCAAGGCCAAAATAATTTACAAATACTAAGACTATACACACTCTTTAGTAAGTCAGCACATTTTCCTGAGTCCTGATCAAAGTTGGAGCGACAACTAACAAACATTAACTTCCCATTGATCTAACTTACCCAATGTGTGTTATGGCTTCCCTGTTGTCAAAGTCTGCCGTCCAGATGGCGATTTTGTCTCCTTTCGAGCGAATATTGACTACTGCTCCGCACACTTCGTCACTATAGTCATCAAAAGTCTCCCCAACAAGGCAGAGAAGCTGGACAGGTGAAGTGTCAGGAGAAAATATGGAACCACACATTAACATTTCAGTGGCATCACAGAATTCCTTAATCCAGCCACACAGGGAGAAGATGAAGGCTGCATTTCATTCCAAATTGTCTGCGTACACACACACACACACACACACCCACTAACTCACGGTTTCTAGCCAGAAGCGGTCCAGGTCTTGTCTCCTCTGCTGCTTGCTGAGAGTGATCAGCCAGCGCCCTCCGCGCTTGTTCCGCTCATCCTCCCACATGGGTTCAATGCCATCCTGTCACACCAGAGGAGAGACACAGCTTTACTTGCATTAACACCACAGGAGAAGAGGACATGGCTGAACAGTCCTGAACAACTTTGTTCCAGGTACAATTCACAATTAAGTTGCAAAGATGTAGTAACATGGAATAAAATGAGTTCCTTGTCTGCTTTTTGAAATGCCACAAACTTACCTTAAAGAGGGAGTAGTCGCATCCAGATATCAGATTGCTTGACAACTGAATATGATTATAGAGACTGAAATGACAAGAATTGTGTTAGTACAATACACACAATTGCAGTATATTAGTGGGAAGGATGACTGACAACTGAATGCTATCAACATGATGAATGAAGACACATTTTGGTATAATCTCAAATCATCCTTTTCATATTCATTCAATCCTTGTCGTCAGAAAACGAAAACAACTTTAGTCTTATTGATTCTTACGCCCAGAAATCTTCAACAGTGTCAAATGTGGAGATGAGACGGAGATTTGCCTGCCATGTTTTGGTCTTATCATTTTTGAAGAACCAGAGAGACCATCTGTTGGGGCAAAACAGAAATGGGATTTGCATAAAGTAAACACTGGCTAATTAAATGCATGGTAAACAAAAGTAATCAACAGCCTATAAGCCTCAAAGCAAATTAGGACCTTATGGATGAGGGGGAAAACATTTTGACACGGTTCATTGCTTTGTGACATTCATTCAATGTAAAATCCTTAGGCAGTTCAACGGAGCTTGACTGCTGTAACAAAGGGCAATGCATGGTTGGTAATCACACACAACAGCCTCAGCTTGTGGTGGTATGAACACTCTTATAAGCCAAAGTCACATCTTTAGGTTTGGGTCATGATATTACCACTGTGAAGTCACCATGCCTGGTCCTCTGTAGCTCAGCTGGTAGAGCACGGCGCTTGTAACGCCAAGGTAGTGGGTTCGATCCCCGGGACCACCCATACGTAAAAATGTATGCACGCATGACTAAGTCGCTTTGGATAAAAGCGTCTGCTAAATGGCATATTATTATTATTATTATTACCTGAGGGGACGTGAGCTCAAAGAGGTAATACACAAGATTGAATTGGTGCTTGGCATTGGCAGCTGTGCTGACCAACACTGCAAACTGGTGGGATTTACATCATCAGATTAATACCCACCACTCTTACAGGAAACAACTACCCGGAGGCCTTTTGCTGGAAAAGTTTCCTTACCACGGAGCAGCAGCCTGTAACGAACAATGTTTTTTAAAGAGCAGTAGCCTGGGTCATCTTACTTGTTCTGGAGGGGGTGTTTGATATAGCTCTCGGGGCTCACTATCTCCTGACCAGTCTCTGCTTCTGTTCCTTCTTCAGCATGTTGGGGATTTAAATTGATCTCCTAGTGGAAAACAATTTGAAAGAAGTCAGAGGTGTGATCTTGCAGGACTGTCATGCCTTGGTATGTTTTTTTTGTCTTTTTTTTTATACAAAGCTGGGTTGATGGTGGTATAGGTAACAATCAATGAAAAATTAGATGTTATGTATGCTTTTCCTCATGACCTCAGAACTGTCTATCAGCTAGATCTGGAGAACAAAAGAGGGCCCAAGTGGGCTTAAAGCTTCCCCCTCTTGGGTTCTCAGCTGAAGGTATGGACCACAGCTGGCTCCATGTGAACTACAATCCCGACGCTCTGTTTTAACGTTTAGAAACGTTAATAATGCTCACTTGCGATACATATTTAGAAACATAAAGCCCTTAAATTTTCACATCACACCAAAATAATTTCACAAATACAAAATATACACTTAACCGGTTTCAACACAGTTGCAGCTGACAGTATTTTTCTGGCGTCGTTCATCCGTTACACACAGGTGTTTGAAGACGATTCAATAGCTAGCTAATTAGAACAGGTGGTTGCCTGTCTTCCGTAAACAAGCGATGTAACATGGAAATATAGCCGTGTGGGAACCCTAACCCTATACAAAGGTGTTTAGTAATTTAACATTTTGCTTTTAGAAAATTATTTCTAACCGATGTGAAAATTAAGTTCCAAATGTTTCCAAAACCGTATCGCAAGCGAGGCGTATTGACGTTTAGACAAAGCTTTGGGACAGCGCCGGAGCAGTTGCCTTAAGCGGCAGACATGTTCGTGAATAGACAGTATATGTTTAACATTACAGTCTATGAATGGGCTAGCAGCTAGATAGTCCCGAATGTGGCGATGCTTTCCATTGTGTACAGCAGAGCCACGCACATTTACATAGAAAAAAAACCTAAACGTCCCTCGTCTGTCACGAATGTTGAATAAAATTATTGTTGAACTTATTCTGCCGACTGTCCGTAGGGTTAATCCTTCAGTTGGTCGAAATTTGAGAAAAACTATCCACAGGAGATGAACGTGCACAGGTAACTTACTTTTTGAAGTGATTTGTTTGACAATCAGATGAAAACATCATGACTGGTTGTGTTCATGACACATTAAAAGGTCATACATTTCTACAGTTAAACCCCTAGAGCAGGGGTATTCAACTCTTAAAGGCTCTCCATGGTCAACCTGACGTCAGCAGTGGCCGTACAAGATTTACTGCGATGCGACCTCAGCAGAAGTCAGAGCAAACATACTTTTTGCGCTTCGCTGAGCAGAGCTGTTGTCAAGGAAGTGAGTTTGTTTTTATACAGGACCTCCTGCCCCCACATACCGTCAAAAAATTACAGTACATTCGGAAAGAATTCAGACCCCTTCCCCTTTTCCACATTTTGTTACGTTACAGCCTTATTCTAAAATTGATTACATTTATATTTTTTCTCATCAATCTACACACAATACCCCATAATGACAAAGCAAAAACAGGTTTTTCGAGAAAGGATTGTGTAGATGCACAGATCTGGGGATTTCTGCAGCATTGAATGTCCCCAAGAACACAGTGGCCTCCATCATTCTTAAATGGAAGAAGTTTGGAACCACCAAGACTCTTCCTAGAGCTGGCCGCCCGGTCAAACTGCGCAATCGGGGGAGAAGGGCCTTGGTCAGGAAGGTGACCAAGAACCCGATGGTCACTCTGACAGTGCCCCAGAGTTCCTCTGTGAAGATGGGAGAACCTTCCAGAAGGACAACCATCTCTGCAGCACTCCACCAATCAGGCCTTTATGGTAGAGTGGCCAGACCGAAGCACCACTCCTCAGTATAAGGCACATGACAGCCCGCTTGGAGTTTGCCAAAAGGCAACTAAAGACTCTCAGACCATGAGAAACAAGATTCTCTTGTCTGATTTAACCAAGATTGAACTCTTTGGCCTGAATGCCAAGCATCACGTCTGGAAGAAACCAGGCACCGGTCATCACCTGGCCAATAGCATCCCTACGTTGAAGCATGGTGGTGGTAGCATCATGCTGTGGGGATGTTTTTCAGCGGCAGGGACAGGGAGACTAGTCAGGATTGAGGGAAAGATGAATAATTTAATCAATTTTAGAATAAGACTAATGTAACAAAATGTGGAAAAAGTGAAGGGGTCTGAATACTTTCCGACTGCACTGTATACATGGAAAAACAGAGTCAAAACATAAATCAAAAGGAAGTTGTTTTGAGAGATCTGAGCGATATAAGAAATCAGGAATTATTTTTAACCCCTTTTTTTAGGCACTAAACTACTTCCATTCATTATTTTTTATTGGTACTGGGCTACCTTCAGACAAGTCTTTTGAGGCTTGGGGGCGTCCTAGAGCAAAACACCTTTCCATATAGGGGTCATATTAGTGTGTAGCCCAAACTGTTCGGACGCTACAGACAGAAGATGGCAGATCGGCTGAACCGACTTCAGACGCTTGTGGGGGTCGTAGAGCCAAACGGAGAACACCATCATGTTGGTGAGTCTCATCGTTCCATAGAGGGGTCATAATAGTTTGTAGGCCAAATCGTTCGGACAAGACTTTTGTAATTGATTTATGATTTATTTGAACAGGGAAATGTTAGCTGAAGCATTTAAAGAGTTGAACCATCATAATTATATTGAAAAAAATTCAACTTGCATCGATTAAGGTTCAAAATGTTATGGCCCTCCTAAACTGGGTCTCCTCCACCTTGGCCGCCCCATTCAAAATGTTCTGGACACGTGTACAAGACGGAAGTACATGCACGCGATTCATGCTAACCAATGTCTTGCAGGTGTTTACATGGTTTTGCATATGCCAGGTGATAGACATTTCAAAGGCCGTATTGATACTCTAAAAAGTCTAGTAAATAATACTTTCCTGTGGATATTTTGTCTAATTCCGACCAGTTGAAGGACCAACCGCAGAGACAACCGTTCAAATGTAATTTTATTCAATATTCTGGCTTGTAAGGGAACTTTCCATGTTTTTGCAGTGTTTTGTTTCCGACTGTATACCAAGAATGTACAGGTAACTGCCAAAATAAAGGGAACACCAACAGAGTGTCTTAATAGGCCACCACGAGCCAGAACTGCTTCAATGCACCTTGACATAGATTCTACAAGTGTCTGGAACTGTATTGGAGGGATGCGATACCATTCTTCCACGATAAATTCCATAATTTGGTGTTTTATTGATGGTGGTGGAAAACACTGTCTCAGGCACCGCTACAGAATCTCAATTGAATTGGGTTGAGATCTGGTGACTGAGACGGTCATAGTATATGGTTTACATCGTTTACACCAGCTAGAGATAGCTAGCTAACTAGCCTAAAGTGGGGGAAAAAACTGTCCAAGAAAGCACAAGCTGACAACTACCTAGCGAGTTATACCATTCATAGTGCACTATTTATTTTATTACAACACATTTATGACCGAGCATATTTAACAGCTGTTACACCGTTGACCGAACTTGCTAGCAAGCCAGATACTAACGTTAGCTATTAAGGCGATTCTTAGCAAACATTCACCTCTCACTTTGCCATGCTGCTTGGGTCGTGGCAGAAAAAGTTTCTACAACCGAAAATATGACCATAAACATGCATTTCATTCTAAGTGATTTGAGCTATTAATACCATGTTTGGGTTAATAGTGTATATTTTTGGCCAACGGATTCCGATAAACGTTATGAAATATTTTAGTCGGTAAAGGTACTCACCGGTTCCGCGGTCGCCATCTTATGATTCTTCGCGTAGAACGTTGAAATTCATTGGACTGACCTGGGCTGTAATCATTAGTCCAAACAGTTGCAAACAGTTTCGTTTTGCAACGAAAACGAGTTTCTATTGGACAAATTCAGGTAGTTCCCTCCCCGTTTCGTTCCGTTTGCTTCCGTTTGGTTCTATTTGGTTCCTAGTGAATCCACCCCTGTTCAACGTGACAGGTCCTCTTTGGGCATGCGTAAAAAAAGTTGATTGAAATAAGTCATTGAAATATTGTTATTTGCCTACCTTTATTAGTGTAATTGTGAATTAAACAAGTAATACTCATACGCAAAGAAGCAAATAAAAAAGAGAATGTAAATATATTTGTATTGTGTAAACTAATCAGACATTTTATGACTTGTACTCACAGTCAATACACAATTGTATTGTAAACGCCATCTATTTTTATGGTGAACACACAAATATACTTTATTTCAGCATATAAAATAGCCAGCCAAGGTCACAACTACATGTTGAATATCTCATAATTATGTGCTGAGGCTGCGCTCGCGAGGTTCTCTCCAGCTAACAGACCGTCCAGTCCACTCCCCAGTCTCCACCCCTCCAGACTGCAGGCATGGCGGCTATCGAGGCTCGGGAATGCGAAACAGAAGGCTGTAGCAACGAGGCCAAACTTCAATGTCCAACCTGCATCAAGCTTGGGATCCAAGGCTCATACTTCTGCTCTCAGGTAACATTCATTTTCTAATTCATTCAGTGAGAGAGGGGTCTGACATGATACACAGCGGCCCAGAAATACATAATTTATCACGAGGTAACATAACGGCCCTGAATCCTGATTGCGTTTCCTCACACACCCCTTTAGCTAGCCTAGCACTTGAAGCTGACTAGCTAACTTACAAGCATTCTTCTGCATACAACCCTAACGTTAGCTAAAAAGTAAAGGTTTGCAAATGCATTATCTAGGAATTTGATTTGAAGTCAATAACTAACGTTATAATTATGTATGAAACATGCTTGTTGAAAAGTTTTCTTTATGGGTTTGTTAGCATGTTAGTTGCTAGCTAGCTACTAACGTTAGCTAGCTAATTAGCTAACGTTAAGTCTGTTAGTTAATCTGAGCATCAAGTTTGCAAAGTCTAGCAAACTAACGACGTTAGCTGGCTAGATAGCCTAACTTGCTCATTGACATTGTTTATTGCAGTGAATGAAATGGTTAACTAGCCGAACAAGGTAGAGCTAACTGAGGCATGCTTTCTACAAGCTGATGTAGCTAGCCATGTTCATTCATTTGATTTCTCTGCCGCTGGCCTGGCTGTAAACCACCTGTGGCTTGCTTGTCTGAAATGTTGAGCAGCTTTCACTGTCACTTTGAAAACTGTTAAATTAATGCATACCATTACCAATGGGTAACTAAGATTATGTATCCCACTCAAGAAATCATTGAAATTGCCAAAGATGCAGGCCCAAGTGGCAGTTTAGCTGTGTACCATTAGCGATAAGGATAAAAGGCAGTGTAATTAGTTCAAAGCTTAGACTTCTCTGGCAGTGTAGGCCTAGATTAATTTTTGGCAGAGACAGATGGGGAGGTGGCTCTGCTGTGATGTTCCATACAGGCAGCTCTGTCAAAGCCTCTATACCACCCAGAGCTATGAGGCTAGTTGCAGTCTAAGGGATATTTTTACCCCACTACTCTCTCCTTATTCTAGTGGTCAGCAAAGAGGTTAGCCCATGGTCAACTGGCCATTGACCAAGTCTTGAAAGAAAGTTATATCTTAGCCTTGTATGTCTTATTGCCACTTCAACTAGCCTAAATGGCAGTATTCCTCAATGACACTGTTGGAAACAAAAGTGGTTTATGTAATTGTATGAAATTCAGAGCCCATTGGTTTCACTCACTCTGCCTTTAATATTGAGCAGGGATGCACAACTCCCAGTCCACAGACGATTAGAGGAATTAATTCCGCAATTAGTGCCAGTGCCAGACACTGCTGCCATTGAAACCTGTACACCCCTACAGAGTCCTGTATTTCTCCCTCCTCTCGTTGTCCTCTCATTCAGGAGTGCTTCAAAGGGAGCTGGGCCACTCACAAGCAGCTGCACAAAAAAGCAAGTATGTATCCTCAGCAATATTCTATCACATAGGCCTACTCCCTTCCAAATAATTTTTCAAACAGACCACAATGTCCCTACATGGCGTTTGTCAATGTTCCTATTCTTACCTGACCTATAATTTGAAAGCATAGAATAGGTGAAAGCCAACATAATTGCCAAAGCTTTTCCATCCTCTATTTTTGATGGTGGAATAGAGCAATGGTGTAGCCTTTCAAAATGGATGAGACACTGCACTCAGTACAAGCCATTAGAGCAGGGGCGGACAACCTGAGAGGGCCGGTGGGGGTGCAGGTCCCCACCCCCCAGCCAGGCAGCAACACACCTGATTCAACTAAACAAAGTCACCATTAAAGACAATTATTTAGTTGGTTAGTAGATTTGGGCATTTTACCGCTTGGCTGGAACAAAAACCTGTACCCCCACTTGGCCCTCATAGGCTAAGCGTGCCCAACCCGCCTTAGTCTAGTGTGTACACTACCGTTCAAAAGTTTGGGGTCACTTAGAAATTACCTTGTTTTCGAAAGAAAAGCAATTTATTTGTCCATTAAAATAACATAAAATTGATCAGAAATACAGTGTAGACATTATTAATGTTGTAAATGGCTATTGTAGCTGGAAACGGCTGATCTTTAATGGAATATCTACATAGGCTTACAGAGGGCCATTATCAGCAACCATCAGTCCTGTGTTCCAATGGCAGGTTGTGTTTGCTAATCCAAGTTTATCATTTTTAAAGGCTAATTGATCATTAAAAACCCTTTTGCAATTATGTTAGCACAGCTGAAAACTGTTGTGCTGATTAAAGAAGCAACAAAACTGGCCTTCTTGAGACTAGTTGAGTATCTGGAGCATCAATAATTGTGGGTTCGATTACAGGCTCAAAATGGACAGAAACAAAGAACTTTCTTCTGAAACTTGTCATTCTTGTTCTGAGAAATGAAGGCTATTCCATGAGAGAAATTGCCAAGAAACTGAAGATCTCGTACAACGCTGTGTACTACTCCCTTCACAGAACAGCGCAAACTGGCTCTAACCAGAATAGAAAGAGGAGTGGGAGGCCCCGGGGCACAACTGAGCAAGAGGACAAATACATTAGTGTCTAGTTTGAGAAACGGATGCCTCACAGGTCCTCAACTGGCAGCTTCATTAAATAGTACCCGCAAAACACCAGTCTCAACGTCAACAGTGAAGAGGCGACTCCGGGATGCTGACCTTAGGGCTTTTTCTTTGCAACTCTGCCTAGAAGGTCAGCATCCCAGAGTCGCCTCTTCACTGTTGACGTTGAGACTGGTGTTTTGCGGGTACTATTTAATGAAGCTGCCAATTGCTGATGCTCCAGATACTCAACTAGTCTCAAGAAGGCCAGTTTTATTGCTTCTTTAATCAGCACAACAGTTTTCAGCTGTGCTAACATAATTGCAAAAGGGTTTTCTAATGATCAATTACCTATTTGAAAATGATAAACTTGGATTAGCAAACACAACGTGCCATTGGCACACAGGACTGATGGTTGCTGATAATGGGCCTCTGTACGCCTATGTAGATATTCCATAAAAAATCAGCCGTTTCCAGCTACAATAGTCATTTACAACATTAACAATGTCCACACTGTATTTCTGATCAATTTGATGTTATTTTAATGGATACATTTTTTTGCTTTTCTTTCGAAAACAAGAATTTCTAAGTGACCCCAAACTTTTGAACGGTAGTGTATGTGTGAACACCTAACTGGGATCTCTCACAATGGTGTCAAATCAGATGACCTAAATTATATTCTGATTTGCAGAGGATGATAACCAGGATGAGGCAAAGAACTGCGTGGAGAACGACACCAACACAGACCCATGGCCTGGCTACCGCTACACGGGCAAACTACGCCCTCACTACCCACTCGTAAGAACACCTTTCTTGTACATATCTAAATGGTGCTAATGTGCTTATAAGATATTTTATGTAGGAGCGTTTTTTCCTAGTTACATAGTAGGCCAACTAATGTCAACACAACATGATTAATAGACATAAACCACACAAGCTTTGTGTAAAGTTTACTCATTAGCCCCTGTGAGCTTTGTAATCATGTCTGTAATCGCTCTTCTCGTTGGTGTCTTCTGTGAGCTCCATGTAATCAATCTCTCCTGTCATTGGTTCCCCCTTGTAGACTCCCATGAGGACTGTCCCCAGTGACATCCAAAGACCTGACTATGCTGATCATCCACTAGGTAACGCTACTCCTCTTAGACTGAGACCGCCTCCAGTTGCTTTGAATTATTATGAAATCCTGTGGTTTCTTTGAAAATCTTCTCAAAGCAAGTATTCTTTGTCATGAATTGTGTTGATATTGAAACATTATGAAACAGTATGAAAAATGTATGCACTCACTAACTGTAAGTCGCTCTGGATAAGAGCGTCTGCTAAATGACTTAAATGTAAATTACACTTTATCCGAGGAAAATGTACACTGTCAATACCCAGTACTATACCCAGAAAGTGTTGTCATGATACCATAATGTTGACTTCGATACCAGGTTTCTTATCACAATACTCAATACCATCACGATACTCGAAACCGAAACGATACCATGACAAAATAATAAGGCATATTAGCCAAAGTCACGGAATGGCACCTGATCCAGGCAGAAACTCAGCTACTACTCTGTTCAATCGTTGGGCATCTTTTGAGTTCAATATCACTACATTCAATTTTTTTTTTACTTCGGCAGGTAGCTTAGTGGTTAAGAGCGTTGTGCCAGTAACCGAAAGGTCGCTGGTTCTAATCCCCGAGCCGACTAGGTGAAAAATCTGTCTGTGCCCTTGAGCAAGGCACTTAACCCTAATTGCTCATGAAAGTCGCTCTGGACAAGAGCGTCTGCTAAATGACTAAAATGTAAATGTCTACATTTTTCAGACAGCCATGTATGCATTAATGAACAATCATACAATCAATTTGACTTTGTTTTTACCAATCTAACAACATAACATAATGGTAATCATTTATTTGTATGGTCAATCTCTTAAACTGGGTACATCAAGATGTAGCCTATATCTATCCACGATACAGGTGAATGTATATTCAATAGGAGTGTGTGCATGCATTGCGTTATTGAGCTTGTTTTGGCTGATTACATGGGGCTACAGATTACAACCTGTTTCCCTTTGATTTGTGACTTATTTTATCAACAACATTTACATAGAAGTACAGTACCAGTCAAAAGTTTGGACACCTACTCATTCAAGGGATTTTCTTTATTTTCTACATTTTATAATAAGAGTGAAGACATCAAAACTATGAAATAACATATATGGAATCATGTAGTAACCAAAAAGTGTTAAGCAAATCAAAATATATTTTATATTGGAGATTCTTCAAATAGCCACCCTTTGCCTTTTGACAGCTTTGCACAGTCTTGGCATTCTCTCAACCAGCTTCACCTGGAATGCTTTTCCAACGCTCTTGAAGGAGTTCCCACATATGCTGAGCACTTGTTGGCTGCTTTTCCTTCACTCTGCCGTCTGACTCATCCCAAACCATCTATATTGGGTTGAGGTCGGGGGATTGTGGAGGCCAGGTCATCTGATGCAGCACACCATCACCCTCCTTCTTGGGAAAATAGCCCTTACACTGCCTGAAGGTGTGTTGGGTCATTGTCCTTTTGAAAAACAAATGAGAGTCCCACTAAGCTCAAACAAGATGGGATGGCTTATCGCTGCAGAATGCTGTGGGAGCCATGCTTGTTAAGTGTGCCTTAAATTCTAAATAAATCACAGACAGTGTCACCAGCAAAGCACCCCCACACCATAACACCTCCTCCATGCTTCACGGTGGGAACTACACATGCAGAGATCATCCGTTCACCCACACCGCGTCTCACAAAGACACGGCGGTTGGAACCAAAAATCTCCCAATTTGGACTCCAGCCCAAAGGACACATTTCCACCAGTCTAATATCCATTGCTCATATTTCTTGGCCCAAGCAGGTCTCTTCTTCTTATTGGTGTCCTTTAGTAGTGGTTTCTTTCCAGCAATTCGACCATGAAGGCCTGATTCACACAGTCCCATCTGAAAAGTTGATGTTGAGATGTGTCTGTGACTTAACTCTGAAGCATTTATTTGGGCTGCAATTTCTGAGGCTGTTAACTCTAATGAACTTATCCTCTGCAGCAGAGGTAAGCCTGGGTCTTCCATTCCTGTGGCTGTCCTCATGAGAGCCAGTTTCATCATAGCGCTGGATGGTTTTTGCGACTGCACTAGAAGAAACTTTCAAAGTTATTGAAATGTTCCCTATTGACTGACCTTCATGTCTTAAAGTAATGATGGACTGTTGTTTCTCTTTGGTTATTTGAGCTGTTCTTGCCATAATATGGACTTGGTCTTTTACCAAATAAGGCTATCTTCTGTATACCACCCCTACCTTGTCACAACACAACTGATTGGCTCAATCGCATTAAAAAGGAAAGAAATTCCACAAATTAACTTTTAAAAAGTCATACCTGTTAATTAAAATGCATTCCAGGTGACTACCTCATGGTAGTGGCTATTTGAAGAATCTCAAATATAAAATATATTTTGATTTGTTTAACACTTTTTTGGTTACTACATGATTCCATATGTGTTATTTCATAGTTTTGATGTCTTCACTATTATTCTACAATTTAAAAAATGGTATAAAAAAAATTATAAAGGAAAAACCCTTGAATGAGTAGGTGTGTCCAAACCTTTGACTGGTAGTGTAGCCTCTTTTATAAAAATGTGCGCTGTCTCATTAACCAGTAATTGCAACACAGTCAATTCGCTGAGGCCATAGATAATGGGAGAGACATGAGCGAGAGACCAAATAATGAATGAATAGTTTTGGTGGCATATTTTGCATTATGGTTTGCACATTATCACAAAGTACTAGGGTAATGAATTGATGGTAGCTTTAGCTGTCAGCTAGCAAGGAAAGTTAACATATAAAGCTGGAAGTTACCAGTATCATCTTGCGTTGTAAAGTGTTCTAGCCTGTATGGACATTGTTTTGCGAACAGTAATTAAGTTTCTACATTTCTACATGCCGTGTCGCATTATTCAAGTATGTTAACTTCTGTGCAGCATGAGTGGGGAGCTAACCTGATGCAGCCCAGACTCCCAGTGCAGGCTACCAATGAGTAAGTGGAGGAGGAACGGTGTGCACTATATAATAAGAGATCGGCTGCACTGATAGACTGACTTGATCCGTGAAGGTAAAAAAATATATAATAAATATCTAGTACCGAACCGTTTTTCATAATCTAGTATCGAAAAAGACCGGAACGACACTTCCCAGAAAAGTATTGATGTTTCTGTTTAACATCTCACCTGACATACAGTATCAGTCATAGAAAATTGGTTACTGCCCCAGCCCTAGATTCCACTAAAGCTGGTCATTCATTATGTATCCATGGTAACCTTGAGGCCGAGCATCCAGTCCGTTCATAAATTCAGAGCGTTTAGTTCTCGGAGCGTTCAGAGCACACACTGGACGCTCTGGCCGAGGAGTAGGGTTGATCCGAGCGTTCTGGCCTTACAATGGCAGTCAAGCACCCAAGCTAACTGGCTAATGTTAGCTAGCTTGCTAGCTACTTCCAGACATACATAAGAGAACACATCACTCTGACCATTTTACTTGCTCTAGCAGAGCTGATTAGGCTGTTTTCATGTTATCTAGAGCGTTGGTGACTAACTGTGCTGCTGGCATCAATTTAATTGTTTTTTTGCCGACTTTTACTGACACCGGTCATATTCAACGGGTGTTGAGCGATTTGTAAATTCATCAGCTATTCTGCACTCTGGCACACTCAAACGAGAGTGCTCTGAAATCGGAGTGAATTTACAAACGCACCCTACATCACCTGACTGCTGATTAGTGGTGGGGAGTCGACTCCACAATAATAGATTCCTCGACTCCCGGTGTCGTTTCCCATTTCTGGTTGTCAAGCTTATGAATTGTGTATTTCACAATTTCTTGGCTTGCAATGTCTCGCGCAAGTTCACTAAAGTAGGGGCTTTATTATTATTATCAATGAGTAGGCTGAGCTATTCTACGCGCAACAGACCGAAGACCAAACACACCAGCGGTTTTCATAGGGAAGAGAAAGGGAAGCAGGTGAGGGAGAGAGGAGCGGGGCAGGCAGAGAGACGGTCGGAAGCAGGTGAGGGAGAGAGGAGCGGGGCAGGCAGAGAGACGGTCAGAACCAGGTGAGGGAGAGAGGAGCGGGGCAGTCAGAGAGACAGTCAGAACCAGGTGAGGGAGAGAGGAGCGGGGCAGGCAGAGAGACGGTCAGAACCAGGCGAGGGAGAGCGGAGCAAGCCAGGCAGAGAGACAGTCAGAACCAGGCGAGGAAGAGAGGAGCGGGCCAGGCAGAGAGACAGTCAGAACCAGGCGAGGGAGAGAGGAGCGGGGCAGGCAGAGAGACAGTCAGAACCAGGCGAGGGAGAGCGGAGCGAGCCAGGCAGAGAGACAGTCAGAACCAGGCGAGGGAGAGCGGAGCGGGCCAGGCAGAGAGACAGTCAGAACCAGGTGATGGAGAGAGAGGAGCGGGGCAGGCAGGGGGACGGTCAAAACCAGGCGAGGGAGAGAGAGGAGCGGGGTAGGCAGAGAGACAGTCAGAACCAGGCGAGGGGGAGAGCGGAGCAGGCCAGGCAGAGAGACGGTCAGAACCGTGTGCATAGTCTATCTTGGTAGTCTGTATCTAGCAATGCCTTGTAAATTCACCAAAAGTATATTCAAGTGTATACAGTGGGGAGAACAAGTATTTGATACACTGCCGATTTTGCAGGTTTTCCTACTTACAAAGCATGTAGAGGTCTGTAATCTTTATCATAGATACACTTCAACTGTGAGAGACGGAATCTAAAACAAAAATCCAGAAAGTCACATTGTATGATTTTTAAGTAATTAATGTGCATTTTATTGCATGACATAAGTATTTGATCACCTACCAACCAGTAAGAATTCCGGCTCTCACAGACCTGTTAGTTTTTCTTTAAGAAGCCACTTTAAGAAGCCACTGTTCTCCACTCATCACCTGTATTAACTGCACCTGTCCACACACTCAATCAAACAGACTCCAACCTCTCCACAATGGCCAAGACCAGAGAGCTGTGTAAGGACATCAGGGATACAATTGTAGACCTGCACAAGGCTGGAATGGGCTACAGGACAATAGGCAAGCAGCTTGGTGAGAAGGCAACAACTGTTG